TTATTTTTTCTTAGCATTTTAAACTACACACCATATTTGCCAAGAGCAGTTGTGGAAAATGCCATCGAGAGAGCCTTTAAAGTCTGGAGTGATGTGACACCACTAACATTTGAAAGGGTCTTTGAAGAGGAAGGAGATATTGTGTTCTCCTTCCACAGAGGAGGTAAACTCTTCAACCTCACATTGCCCTTCAATCTCCTCTGCTTTGCAGGAAGAGTTTCTTGTTGAAGAATGTGTTTTATTTTCTAAGGTTGAGAAGAAAAATAATATCGCATTGGATGGAAGTACATTGACTGCCCAACAAAACTCTGAACTAACCAATGTGAGAACTAAATGAGTCTTTTGTTGAATTTTCATTTTTTGCAGACCATGGTGACAACAACCCATTTGATGGACCTAACTATGGACTTGCTCACACTTTCCCTCCAGGCCCACGTTTGGGAGGTGATGTTCATTATGATCTTGATGAGACATGGACTGACAACAGTGAGAGTAAGTTCACTGACATTTCTTCTCGCAGCTCACCTGGCCCTTCCTAGTTCCTTGCAGGGTTGGTTTATTTAGTGGACAGAGTGCATTAATGGAAACAGAGAATCTACCGCCACTCAAGAGGATTAGGAGTACATTGAGAAGCATGGGACAGGATTATTTTCTGATTGCATATCATCTTCCCCATGGCAAATGTGTCATTCTAAAACTTCTCTTATCTGTGCTAGGTCCCCTGCATAAGGCCTACAGTTCTTTAGCGTGAGATGTTTGTGGGACTCCTAAGAGTGGGAGCTGATGTGTCTCTGACTTTTGCCTGTGCTCAGGAGCCTTTTGATCCTACTGGGTTTCCTCATCAAGCCATGACATGAGGGTTTGTGTATAGTCTTATGGAATGCTGTTGTGCTGTTGATATCAATGGGAAGCCTGCTCTTTTCTAAAGGGAAACAGAAAAGATATGGGGGAGACCAGAAGTCAAGGAAAGGCTGGAAGGAGTGGAAGGCAGAGGGGCTGCTGTACAGTCAGGATATATTGTATGAGAGATGAATTAAAAAATAAATAAGAAAGAAAAAAGAAAATTTAGAAGACTGGTGAGACGCAACATCTGAAATTCTCATTTTGTTTCTCAGAACCCATTTGGTGGAAGAAAACTGAGTCCTTTAAGCTGTTCTCTGCCTTCTACAGAGACATCCTCAGTACACATTGTGCTTACATGCACACATATGTGTATGCACTCGTGCTCATGCACACATGTGCTCATGAACAAACAAAGATACAGTAAAATCAAATAGTTTTCTGTTCAAAAGGAAGGTTTTTTGTATTTCCTAAATTTCACACACTGCCTGTCCATCAGCTTTGTAAATAAGAAGTGCTAACTGTTAGCAGAGCTTCATTGCTCCTCTGAGAAGGAACTCATCCCAGCTCAGAGTTAACATGGACTCATGTGAGCTGGACCTTAAGTCAGTGAGAGCTCTATTATACAATAGAATTAATAGACGCAGCTTTCACCATCAGGAAAAGACTGTGGATACATACGTGTAGTTCAAAAAGTGACTACGAAGATGTGAACATTTACCCTGGAAGATTATTTCCTTTATAATACCTCAACCCCTTTTTTTAATTTTTTTATTGGATGTTTTATTTACATTTCATATGTTGTCCCCTTACCCCATCCCCCACCCACCCAGGAACCTCCTATCCCCTCACTCCTCCTCCTTCTTCTCTGTGGATGTAACCTCTACTACCCCCCACTCCCACCTCCCCACCCTCAAAATTCCCACCCCCTGGGGCATCCAGCCTTAATGAGGTCAAGGTTCTCTTCTTCCACCTATGCCCAGCAGGGCCCTCCGCTCTTACACGTATTCAGCTGAAACCCTGGATCCCTCCCTAAGTGCTCCCAGGCTGGTGGTTTAGACCCTGGGAGCTGTGGTTGGTTGGTATTCTCAACCCCATTTTTAATAATTAGATGGATCACTTTGTCCTTCCAGATTTCAACTTGTTCTATGTTACGGCTCATGAACTGGGCCACTCCCTTGGACTTACTCATTCTAGAGATATAGGAGCACTAATGTTCCCCAGCTACACATGGTACACTGAAGACTTTGTGCTAAACCAGGACGATATTAATCGCATCCAGGCTTTATATGGTAAGTGAGTCATCCTTAGCTGCACAGTCGAAGGCATTTTCATCCTCCAGGTGGCCTTTCAGAACCATGGAAACTAACTCCAGCTCTCTTCTATTCTTTAGGCCCTTCACCAAATCCCATCCAGCCAACAGGTGCAACAACACCACATCCATGTGATAGTCATCTAACCTTTGATGCTATAACTACATTTAGGGGAGAGGTGATGTTCTTTAAAGGCAGGTAAGATCTTTATTTTTCCCCTGGGCTCTTTATTCACTATTGTAGGCCATGTGTTAGGCTCACACTATAAGGTAGCAATTGCTTACATTTCCTCTCTCTCTCTCTCTCTCTCTCTCTCTCTCTCTCTCTCTCTCTCTC